TTATCGAAGAGCTAAAATTTATGATTAATGATAAGAACAACTCTAACCTGTAAAAAAATCGTTTCAAAACAACTTTTCACTCACCTGCCTACATCCAATTTAGAAACAATAGTTTTATCTCCCTACAAAGGGGTGGCAATGGCACGGCCGGTTAAGAGGCAAGCACAAGGAGGAGCAGCAGCAGGAGCACAAGATGACATTAAGGAGGAACACCTTTTGGCTTTCATTGTGAAGGACAAACATGATGATGAGAATGAATGCAAAAAAAGGCTCAAGGAATATTGTGAAGAGTTGAAGAAAGCAGATGAGAAATTCAATGTGAATGAGAAAGTTAAAGAACTTTGTGGTGCTGGTGATGATACAAAACGAGACAAAAAATGCAAAGACCTGGATGTTGATGCAGAATTGGTAACTTTTGAAGATGAACTTAAAAATGCATTAGCAGATATAAAAGATGAAAATTGTAAAAAACATGAAGAAAAATGTATACTTTTAGAAGAGACGGGTGATGATGATGTTAAGGAGAAGTGTGTCAAGTTGAGGGAAGGATGTTACAAATTGAAGCGTGAAAAGGTGGCAGAGGAGCTTCTTTTCAGGGCGCTCGGAGGGGATGTTAAAGATAAATGTGAACTAAAGATGAAAGATGTTTGCCCAGTGTTAAGCCGAGAAAGCGACGAGCTGATGTCTTTTTGCCTTGATCCGAGTGGAACGTGTGGAGAGCTGAAAACAAAATTGAAGGATCTTTGCGAGCCTTTAAAAGAAGAGCTTAAAGATGGCGAATTAGAGAAAAAGTGTCATGAAAGACTTGAGAAATGTCATTTTTACGGAGAAGCGTGTGATGGTGCGAAATGCAAGGACTTTGAGAAGAAATGCAAGGGAAAAGGAATCACATATAAAGCGCCGGAATCTGATTTTAGTCCTGTCAAGCCGAAGGCGTCGTTGTTAAGAAGTATTGGGTTGGATGATGTGTATAAAAACGCGGAAAAACATGGGATTATTATTGGAAAATCAGGAGTGGATCTACCAAGGAAGTCGGGTACAAAATTTCTGCAAGATCTCTTGCTACTGTTGAGCAGAGATGAGAATGATAGGGATGCAGGGAAGAAATGCACTAAAGCGTTAGAAAAATGTGGTGCTTCTAAGTATTTGAATACTGATTTGATGGAGTTATGCAAAGATGCTGATAAAGAAAATAAATGCAAAAAAAAGCTAGATGTAAAAGAAAGATGTACAAAACTCAAGTTAAATCTTTATGTGAAAGGGTTGTCTACGGAGTTTAAAGAAGATAAAAAATCACATCTTTTATCGTGGGGACAGCTTCCAACATTATTTACGAAGGGAGAGTGTGCAGAACTTGAGTCGGAATGTTTCTATTTAGAAAATGCGTGTAAAGATAATGAGATTGGTGAAGCGTGTCAAAATCTACGATCAGCGTGCTATAAAAAGGGACAAGACAGGATGTTGAATAAGTTCTTTCAAAAGGAATTGAAGGGAAAGCTTGGTCATGTAAGATTTTATAGCGATCCTAAAGATTGTAAAAAATATGTGGTAGAAAACTGTACAAAACTTAAAAAAGATAAAAGATACCTTTCAAAATGTCTTTATCCTAAAGAACTATGTTATGGGCTTTCAAATGATATTTTTCTCCAATCCAAAGAGTTAAGTTCGCTTTTAGATGATCAGAGAGATTTTCCATTTGAAAAGGATTGTCTTGAATTGGGAGAGAAGTGTGATCAACTTAGTAGTGATTCATTATTGAATTTAGAAAAGTGTATAACATTGAAAAGACGCTGTGAATATTTTGACGTTACAGAAAGATTTAGAAAAGTATTTTTAGAAAAAAAGGATGATTCGTTAATGATTCAGGAAAACTGTACAAAGGCATTGCATGAGAAATGTAATACTTTATATAAGAGGAGAAAGAATTCATTTAGTGTTTCATGTGCTTTACCAGAAGAAACATGTAGTTATATGGTATTCCACACAAGTCAAGATTGTAAATATTTAAAAGAAAACATCAAGAATGGAGGAATTGTAGGAAAAATTGGAGGAGCAAATGGAAATGAAACAGCACTTGAAGAACTCTGCACAACATGGGGCCGACATTGTCACCAACTTGTGAAGAATTGTCCGGATCAATTGAAAGAAAATAACAATGATCAAAACTGTGAAAAACTCGATGAAAAATGCAGGGATACTTTTGAAAAGTTGAAAGCGAAGGATGATTTGACTCATCTGTTGAAAGGAAATTTAAATAATGAAGAAAAATGTAAAGAAGCATTAGGAAAGAATTGCACTGAGTTGAAAAAGAATCAACCATTCAAAATTCTGCTTAGTGATTGTGAAAAAGATAAGCAAAATGTTTGCAAAGAATTAGTTGAAAAACTAAAAAAGAGATGTCCTACTTTAAAAGCCGGTCTGGAGAATGCGAAAAAAGAGTTGACAGAGAAGAAAAAAGAATACGATGAGCTCAAACAGGTAGCAAAAGAATCTACGGAGAAAGCTAAGTTATTACTATCGAAGCCTCGACAAACTGTAACTCCAAATGCGCAGAATGGCAGTGATTCTGGATCAGCACCACCAGCACCACCAGGGCCACCACCAGCACAGCCACCATCAACTGACGGAACGGCAAACACGTCAGGTGTAACACCAGGAGCACCAGATGGAACACCAGGCACAACAGGTGAGACGAAGAATCCAAGCCTTGGACTCGTTAAAAGAGAATATGTAGCTGAAGGAGTATCAGAAGTAGAAGTAAAAGCATTTGATGCAACGACGATAGCATTGGAATTGTATTTGGAATTGAAAGAAGAATGTAAAGCTTTAGAATTAGATTGCGGTTTTAAAGAGGATTGTCCAGATACTAAACAAGCTTGCGAAAATATAGACACTTTATGTAAACTGGAACCATTAGAAATTAAGCCTCATCATACAGAGACAATAACAAATAAGGTGACGGAAACGAAGACGGAAACAAAGACTGAAACAAAGACTGATGACAAGGCTGATGAGAAGACCGGTACGAAAACTGTTACAGAAACCAAGACAATAGGTGGAGGAAAAGTAACAGAAGAGTGTACAATGATACAAACAACAGATACATGGGTGACGAGTACGTCATTGCATACGAGTACGACAACGAGTACGTCAACGGTGACGTCGACAGTGACGTTGACTTCGATGCGCAAGTGCAAGCCTACCAAATGTACTACTGATTCAAGCAAAGAGACACAGAAAGAAGAAGAAGAAGAAGTAAAACCAAATGATGGGATGAAAATAAGAGTTCCTGATATGATTAAAATAATGTTGTTGGGAGTGATTGTTATGGGGATGATGTAA